TGTACATTTGGGACTGTGGAGGGCCTATCAGCAGGCAAAGTGTGAAAAAAAATCACTCGGTCATGTTTTTGTGGGCTGCCTCAGTCTGAATCCAGGAGATAAATCAGGAGGTTTCAGGGGTGGGTAGTTTCTGACGTCATTAGCTCTAGCTCATTATAATATTCCAGCCTTTCACCTGCATGTTGCCCCCCCCCTCAGCTTACTCCAATATCTGTGGAGACGTCCTGGTAGCGTGAGCGTTAGCATGGTAGCGTTAGCATGATAGCATTAGCATGGTAGCGTTAGCATAGTAGCGTTAGCATGGTAGCGTTAGCGTGCCGACGTGGGCACACCTCCCTGAAGAAGTGGGTGGATTGCCTGTGTCTCATTTGCATTTAAAGAGACAGGCACTCCAAAGCGAGCGCTCTGAACGGGGCTGTTTTGGGTTAGGGTTAGGGTTAGGGTTAGGGTTAGGGTTAGGGTTAGGGTTAAGGTTAGGCAGGGGGACTGAACTGCTATTGGGCTTCATCCTTATGGGGTTTTGACCAAAGCTTGTCACAGACATTACATTAGGACACCAGGGAACTAGCTTAACTTGTTGAAATAGGGTATAATATGTCTCCAACAGACTTCTATGGTGATTTTTGTGGTATAAAGCCCAACTAACTGTGTTTAATTTTTGGATTCCTCTATCTGATCTATTGCTGTCATTTCAGATAAAACTCAGGGGCTGAAGTGTCTTATCTCAGTGGTGTGATGGTTTCTGTATGGGGGGGAGGCTGTTCTGTGTTTACCCATTTTGATTACGGTGATCTTTCCGGGATGTTGGGTGGTGAGCTGCATCAGGGCCTGTGGGGAACACGGGGGGGGGGGGCATGAGCCACGAGATAGAAAACTGATTCCAGGTCAAAACAGACTGAATACTAATTATGTACAATAACACACACACACATACATATACACGTATATACACATATATGTACATATATATGCTGATGTGTACCTACATACATACATACATACATACATACATACATACATACATACATACATACATACATACATACATACATACATACATACATACATACATACATACATACATACATACATACATACATACATACATACATACATACATACATACATACATACATA